TATATGTGCATATATTATTACTATTACTAAATAATAACTTTATTAATGTATAGTTTTATTAGTCTAAATTTGGCCTTTATGCCTTTTATGAAGGGTCAAATCCATTATCTGAAGTATTCTTATTTTGAATTATTTTACTAACAACAACAGTAACAACGACGATATAACTCATTAAATTATTATGTTAAATAATATTTAAAAATAATTCATATTACATATTTTTTAGCGGCTTTGACTAATTAGTAATCCAGTGTAAATGTAAATGTCTACTATGATGCGAAGGAACGCTGTGAATGACCATCTTTTTTTTTCTTTCTCATGCCACATTAATTTAGGCGCGAAACTACAGGTAAGTTGTTTAAGCTCAGGCCCAGCCAATCAGAGGCGGACATTTTTGAAGCATTTACTATTTTTATTGATGATATAATTGTATTGATGTTAATATTGTAATTTAATTTATTTAGGCACATTCTTAACATGAAGTATTCTTTTAAATTAAAATTTTGTAATATATATATATATATATATATATATACGACGATATAACTCATTAAATTATTATGTTAAATAATATTTAAAAATAATTCATATTACATACAACAATAATAATAATAATAATAATAATAATTATTATTATTATTATATGTAACACCTTATCAAAACTTAATGATCAAACAAACTTAATTATCAACCCTTCAGAGAGTTTAAATGAATTGATTTGAGTTTGAGGCGTTTCGTGTTCAGCGTTCACTGATTGGACGTGCACTTCCGGCACGTTCGCCGAAGAGGCGCAATCAGGCTGCGCGTTGTTGCGGCGTGTGCGTGCGTGCGTGCTGACGGACTGACGGAGCCGGTGCGCCGGTAGCCTCAGTGCTGTACTATGGACCTGCGGAGCAGTGCTGAGACAGACCCGGATCTCTCCGAATACCACGCCGGCTCCGTCCTGCCGGAGCTGCAGTCCAGGAAGCAGGAGCAGGAGAAGCTGTCGGGGGTGGTGAAGAGCGTGCACCGAAAACTCCGCAGGAAATACATTGAAGGTAAGTTACTGGCTGAGAGATGCGTAGCTGTGTAAGTTAGCCTAGCCTAGATCAGTTTCTGTAGTCTGGCCTGATCAGAGATGCGGACATTTAAACGCCTGGAGAACAACCGTGAAGCTACGAGAACAAAAAATGAGTTATTTTAATTTAAACTTGTGTTGCATGACTGTTGACATGGACTAGTTTCGTACTTGGCTCGTTTTGGAAAGCATTGGCTGTGGCTCAAAACCTAGTGAGCTGCCTAGCTGGGTAATATTTGAATAGAACGTTCCGAACGCCCTAAAAGAATGCTGTCTAGGTAGGCAGCACATTAGGTTTTGAAACAGCCTTTGTCTGTCTGTCTGTCTGTCTGTCTGTCTGTCTGTCTTTCTTTCTCTCTCTCCGTTCCGAACGCCCTAAAAGAATGCTGTCTAGGTAGGCAGCACATTAGGTTTTGAAACAGCCTTTGTCTGTCTGTCTGTCTGTCTGTCTGTCTTTCTTTCTCTCTCTGTCTGTCTGTCTGTCTGCAGCACGACGTCACAGTCTAGTCAGCAAGCCTGTGCAGGGTCGTTCATCTGTTCCTGTTTTGCTCTTCATAGATCCGATGGCAATGTTTGAAAACATAAACAACGTTTAATTCTCCTGCGGGGAAAAAAGGCTATAAAGAGAGAATTTATGAGCATGAATCCTCTGAATTGTGTGTCCTGACTGTGTACAGGTGACAAGTGTGCTGCTCTAAATGCTTTGTCACTGTCAATTATTTATCCATTTATTGTTTAACACCTTTTTTATCTAAAGACTTAATACACATATGATAAATAATGGTCAGCTGACCTATTTTTTAGTGTGTCTACTTGCTGGGGATGGTATAGTATAGGCTAAATAAGTATAAATACCTTTTTTTCTTTTTCTTTGTTAAACTGGTATCTTTTAACATTTATTTTAAGGATAAAATATATTAAAAGTCCAATAGGTGAACTGAAAACTTTGCAGTCAACTGTAACAGACCAGGTAGCAACAGATGAATTGCAATTAGGGAGAGTTAGAGCTGGTGTACTTGTTGTCAATTGTATCGGTTTCAGTGTGACAATGTCACCATGGTTATGAGCACTCATGGTGTAAATCTGGATTTTTTTTTAGTTACCTAACCTTAAGTACACTAGCTTCTCCACTTATTTGACTTTCTGAGATTTTAGCATGTTTTTTTAAGTGCATCTAAAAAAATAAGAGGAAAATTCACTATATGTATATATAAATGCTGTCAATCGATAAAAAAATCTAATCTCACATTTTTTTTTCTGAAATAAATCGCAATTAATCCCACCTAACATTAAAGTTTTTAAATATACTTTTATATTGCAATAATTTCACATTCAATCTTCAATTTAATGTAGAAATAACATAAAGACATTATATTTTGTTTAATGGCATCTTTTTTTATGACTGAAGGCAAGTATCACTGATACCAATACTTAGGCCTGTCGCTACATAAAGATTAATACTTAAAGCTACAAAAGTTATTGATTTCCGCTTTTTTTTTTCTCTTCTTTTTTCTTTTCTTTTGTTCTTTGATTAACAGACGTCACAGCAGCTGGTTATTAGGTTATTTTTGCTGCCACTGCTGATGATGTGGATCTGACACGCATCATATTTTCTCACAACTCTTTACATTTTCTGACCCACTTCAGGTCTTAAAGTCTCTGCTAATGAGCTGACGAGTTGAATCGTGTGTGTTAGATGAGGGAGACAGTGCTGGGCCGCTCCAGGACAGTTTTGAAAACCCCTGCGTTAATTGCATTAAACATTTTTAACGTATTAAACTGAAAAAATGAATCTTATGTGTTAACGCGCTAATTTTGACTGCACTTTTATATATATATATACACACACACACACACACACACACACACACAGGCATG